TGTTACTAAGGATAATAAAGGATAAGAGGGTGTATGTAAGACAGGACGATACAAATGAGGAAACAAAACAGACACAAGAAAAGGGCAAATTACAGAAGGTTAAGCGGAATAGAGCTGCCCTGGACGTTAAGAGTAGGCTTGAGTTTGGATATAAAAAGGCTTTCGTGAATCAATAATTCACAAGTGTCTGAGCAAGAGGAAAGAATTTTGAAGTCGTCAAAGTTGGCAGAGTGCCCTGTAGTATTTAAGTGAGAGAAAATACTAGACATGACTGGACTGGATGACGGCTGTCCTGTTATAGGTGTGAGTCCCAGGTGTTCCGATACTCTGGTGTGTAAATGGCGCATGGTTTGACCCACATACGACGCGGAACAGCATCGACACTTAAATAAGTATACAACACCAGATCTCAGGAACGTAGGAACTTTATCCTTGAAAGGAAAGAAAGAAGAGATGCGTTTACAGGAGCGAAAGATAAATCGAATTTTGAGATGAGGATAAGCAGCATTGCAAAGTCGGTTGATTTGAGTGCGAATTTGAAGAGAGTGTGAACTTGTGAAGGCAAAAATAGACAACCTTTTTAGGAACCGTGTGAATGGGAGGTTTGGGTTCGAAGATCTTGTTAAGGAAACGATGAACAAGACGGTCAAACATGTGGGAGGGGAAACCATTCAAGTTAAACAGTTTCCTAATAACTTCAAGCTGAGTATGAAAGTTTTCATAGCTAGAACAGAGGTTGAAAATTCTGTAAAGTAGGCAAGAGATTAAAGAGCGTTTGTATGCGAGAGGAATGAAGCTGTGGAAGTTAGTGAAAAGACCCGTGAAAGTTGGTTTACGATAAACAGAAGTGGAAAATTTACCGTTTGAGCTAGTTATATCAACATCGAGAAAAGGTAGTTTACTGTCTTTTTCCAGTTCGGATGTAAACGAAATGTTTGGGTGTTGGCGATTAAGATAGTTAAGAAAGAGAGGTACGTGGTCCAAGGATCGAAAAAGAAGAAAACAGTCATCAACATAACGTCGATACAGAATAGGTTTGAAAATAGACGGACTGTTGTAAAGCCATGATTTCTCATGGAAAGACATAAAGATATTAGCAAAGAGAGGGCCTAGAGGACTACCCATAGCCACGCCATCAATCTGTTGATAAATCCGACCGTTAAAGATAAAATGACAGTTTTTCACAGAAAGAGATAGAAGTTTAATGAACTGTGAGCGATCAAAGCCTTCATTTGTGATTAGCAATAATCTCAATTGTTTCATCAACAGGAATGTTAGTAAACAATGAAGTAACGTCAATGCTAGCCATAACCACACTATCTGAGTTGATGTCGCTGTTCAAGAGTTCTTGAACAAAAGAGAACATTAAATTAACATTAAATTAACATGAAGTATTCAGAAATGGCCCACTGAACCGCAGGCTCGCGCTCAAGTGTTGCCATGACAACATGATATTCTTAAATTTTTAATTTTTTCATATTTTTTCTACAAAACTGCAAAATAGTTGAAAGATTCGTACTTTTAACTATACAACAATAAATTTCCAAAATATATACTGTAGGTATATTATTTTGCATTTTGTGTAGCCTGCGAACAGGCCCTGGGTTGCGGGCGGCGCGAAGAATAGAGGGCCTGCACGGAACTATAGGTTTTCTTGGTAGTGGCGTTCGTATAGAAACGCAGGCTTCTGATTGGCTTACACTCGCTGACAAAATTACTAAAAATAGCAAATGTCAACAACAGCATTTTGAAGAATTTGAACTTTATTCATTTTAATATTATATATTATAGGACTATCGAACAAATAAAACTAGAAATGGAAACCAAAAGCAATAGCAAAGCATCACAGCAAAAAGTCTATCATAAATGACTTGAATCTATCGCTTAAATCCAATATACGAAACTATAACAGTATTCTGAACTTCGTCTTCGGATTGACATCAGACCATAGTATAGTACATTTTGAGGTCGTCGTGGCTTCACGGATTATTCTCATTAGTGAGCAAGTCAGCAAGCGAAGGCATACAAAAGATACCCAAATATGTACGAATAATTATATTGTTGATCCTCGCTGGCATGTCATTTAGATAAATATATATCGTACATTAAACGTTGTACTATTTACTGTATATTAACTGCTGACAATTTCGTCGTCGATACGGCTTCCACTATTGGCACACTCGTGATTTCGAAGAAATTAATAAATACATGCTCATTTATCATTTATTTAGACCACAGTTAGTAAAATTTTAGACGTATTCGGTATTCCAAATCCCAATCTATCTGACCGTATTTTAGTAATAGCTTCAAAATATTCAGAACATTGTTCTTTCAGTCGCACATTAGCACAAGTATTACTGTACACTCAAAGCCAATGGTAGTTTATTTGGCTTTATATTTGTATGTGTATTGATATCTATTTAATATTTGAAGAATTCTATATTTTTCCGAGTAATATATTGTGCGGCCCGCTAATGCTTTGTATTATTGTTCATGTTGCACAATGTACACGTCTTGCGTCAATTTGACAGTTGACAGTTTATTTATCGCAGTCGACGCTGATTGGTCAGCGTTTAGCAGATGCGAAAAGGGGATGATTGAATAAAACGCATGGTTCCGTGCAGGCTCACCTTTCTCCCAGTGAGCCTGTTCGCAGGCTAACCTGTGCAGCTAACACGTGGTGGCCTGCACGCAGCACGCTACCTGCCTAAAATTCAGGTTGTGTGCAGCCTACTTACTTAGTTTCATTAATAATTTTAGATTCCACTGACTCGGTCACAGGCTCCGAAAGAGATTTTTTTATTATTTAACGCAGACATATTGGTTATGAGCGAAGGAAAGTAATATAATTTAAAATTAATGAAAGGTTCATCTTCAAAACATTTCAGTTCAATCAGTTGATTCAAAAATTCCTTAAATTTCCTTAGAATTTTTAAAAATTCCTTAGATTTCCTTGATTCCTTTTTTTTCCTTGAAACGTCTTTTTTCAGTCAAAATTTCCTTGAAAAAGGAAATTTCCTTGAAAGTGGAATCACTGCCCTGGATGAACATAAACATATATATGTGGATCTGATATTTTCATGGAGGGAACTCTTGACCTTATGGCCTAGCCTATGCCATGCATAGACCAGACTCCATTTCTCCCTCGAATTCCCCTGAATTTTCTTGATTTTTTCCACCGTTTGGGTGGCAGGGAAATTTTGTAGGGAAAAAGGAATTTTTGAGATTGTGAAAGGATTTTTGAAAGAGTGCGTCTTCGCACTTGCGGTGCACCTGTTTTGCGCATGCTCCAGAGAACCGCAGTATAGTACTATGTCTGGTTAGATTAAAAAATTCGCAGCCAATTAGTGAGGTAATTTAGACGACCAGTGAAAAAAAATTTTCTAGACCTACCTTAAAGGTTGACAGTAGGAATTCAGATTAACAGTGGGAGAAATTTCTTGCGATGCCATAGCACAGCGTACATCTAAACGTTGTATTTCTTGTGAACTATGCTAAAAATTGAAATATTTTTAAAATAAATACTTGACCTGTTACCTGTAATAGTCTGTAATATATTACCGATTTAAACCGTTTTCGAATTGATAGAACAGGTCTTGCAAAATACAGGGGTTGACAAGTTCAAAATTGGTCAAAATTGTTTAATAATACAAAACTACTACTGGCAACTCACCATTGTAACTACTTTCAAACTTGGTTCCACTCCATGGAAAGACAATGAGGCATTGATCGATGATTCCTCGCTGTTAGCCCACCAGTTAGCAATACAGACCTCCAACGTGACACCAGCCTATATATATATTAACACATTTATCACTATTTTGAAACATATGATAACGACCACTCACTAATTATGCCTGGGCGTGGTACCAATCAGAAAATGATTGGGTGATCTTGCAGTCGATCAAGGAACAAGAAGTTGTATAACATGTACCAAAATATCATGTAACATTTACATTGACAAAATGTAACGTTTGTTTTAAATTTACCACAATTACCAAAATACAGTTGAACCTGGGGTTGGGCTGAAGAGATATAAGAAGCAGTATTTATCACTTATTTACTGAGACCGAGGGAAACAGTGTGTTTTGTGGACCCGAGACCGTCGATGTCGAAACATCGACGGTCGAGGGTCCACAAAACACACTGCTTTCCCGAGGTCTCAATAAATAAGTGTTTTATTATATATCAATAGTCAAAGAAACAACAAATTAAAGAACAAATGAACGTAAATACATGAAATATTTTATTGTTAAAACGTTATATTAAACACTGGCTACACTGCAGTTACTTAAAGCGAAAGTTTTAATTACGTAATAGGCATGTCCAAAGGTCGCATCTTCACGTGATGGCGCACGTGATTTTTTTGTTATTCGCCGGTCGATAACGTATTGTTTCCCTCTCGCGCTGTTGCGAGGAAGACAGCCTAATTTCGTCACGCTCACGTGATATGCTCTCGACCAATAAAACACTAGAAAAATGCGACTTTGACTATTGATATATAATAAATTAATTTATTTACCCGGGCTCGAGACACCTGAAAGAAATTTTAACGAATCATCAAGTATCATGCACCAACTGTTCTCTGTAATTTTGCAATTCACCAAAATATACTGTATACAACCTAGTAGCATCGAGGGGCATTTCATTTTCATTTTTAAAAATCCGCGGATTTTTTAGCGGATTTTCCCCGGATTTTTTAGCGGATTTTTGAAGAGAAAATCTATTGGATTTTCTGGATTTGTTTGGATTTTCCGGATTTGTTCGGATTTTTTCCGGATTTTTTGACGAAGCGTACGGGGTTTTCGGATTTTTAAAAATCCGCGGATTTTTTAGCGGATTTAGCGGATTTTTCCCAGATTTTAGCGGATTTTTGAAGAGAAAATCTGTTGGATTTTCCGGATTTTTTCCGGATTTTTTGACGAAGTGTACGGGATTTTTGGAGTGAAATGCCCCTCGAGTAGCATTATAAGCAACTCTCGACCATTTAGCTACTCGATTGTCAGGATAAACAACCCCTAAAAATAGATTGTTGTACTAGACCAGTTTTTACACAAACCAATTCAACTTGTCAATGAAAACCTTAAAAAAAACATTGTTAAACATAAATGAAAACATTTTGTTCCGTTAAATATAATTCATACCTCGACAGCAAAGCTGTGGGTTACATTTGAATTTGCACTGAGTTCCATAAAACGACTGAACATGTGACATTTGAAGGATTTCAATGGAAGAATTTGAACAGCATGAATCTTGAATTTCGAACCGTTCTCACTGCTTGGTGATGTCACCGTTAATTCTGCAATAAATGTTAGATTGTTAAAGCGATTATGTAATACCCACAAGTAGAAATTAATAAATCGTGCAAGTGTATTTAGCTATAAGGTAGTTCAAAACCTGTTCTATTGCTATTAGATAAGAATCGCATTCGGAAGTAAAGCTCATCGTGTAAAAAATTCAAGCTTATGCTCACGTGCAGATGCAAGGATGCTAAATAATACCGCATACTCAAACTAGTTCAGTTTTATAGCTTCATCCAATAATTCTTAGTTCTTTCATTTATCAAAAAAATAAAATTAACCGAAAAAATACACATAAACGTACACTATAAATTTTGAAAAATTGAAAAATCTCAAAGAAAATTTCCTGAAAGAGATATTGGAAATTAATAGTTGTTTTAGTTCACTAGGTAAAAACGACCCGTTTCTATATCCATGAATGACAAGAGTTTAATAAATTGTGCAACCAGATACATTTACGAGTTAACTAAGATTTTCTCTGACTGTACTATTTGTAATTAATGATTAGTTATAGTTTTATTGTTTGTATGTATCTGTTATATTGTATCACATCCTATGTACCAGTAATGGTGTAATGGAATAAATATTATTATTATTATTATTATTATATATCGCCTTTTACCTGCCCAGGTAACTCCGGGAGGGACAGTGAAGAAAGTTCTATGCACATCACCAGGTTTGAACTTGATGTCTCTAGCAGTCCATGCAACCGGACTATCGTCAGATATCCTACAGATATCAAGTTTAAAAAAGATAATGTTAAACAAGAGTTGGGGGTAGTTACATATGACTCTTCTATATATGGGTATTATTCATATGAAGTCTTATTCTTATGTAAACACATGTGAAAATTGTAGTACTCATGTAATGTAACCAGTCCCTTATTGTAATGTAACCAGGTCATTATTAAATGCGTGATAACGATTTTCTAGCGCAGATAATTGTAAAATCTTATTCAAAATGTTTGACAACATTGCTAATGATCAGTACTTACCTGGTTGGAATGATGATAGAAACTGGAACTTTGAATAATTTACCACGTTTAAGATCTTGGCTATCAAAACCACTAACCTGCATAGATAATAAAAATCATCAGACTCCGTGATTGAAGTGTGCATGGGACTTCCCTGCCCTTGTGGCGAAATTTATAATAATCAATGCTGCGGTACAGTCAGCTTTGTTTACATTTTTTGTATCCAAATAATGAAGTTTATAAACGACGTTGTGACAATTATATTATTATCAACGTAGCATGAGCGAAGAACATAGAACCCAGTTGTTTGTACACATGCGCAGAACGGACTGTACCGCATCTTTAAGTAAATAAATATATAAATATAACCATTGTTTTGGTTTGTCTTGTTTATTTCAAGACGTCGGAAAATGGCACTTCAATCAATTCATATACACCGTTTTGCCATTAAGCTTAAACATATAGGTTTAAGGATTTAGTCAATGTCTTCCAAGGACCTTCAAGAACGTTTTCAAGGACTTTCAAGGAAATTTAAGAACCCTCAGGGACAGTTACGATATATAAATAAGGCAAACCTCAGCATAATGATGACCTGGTGCCAGTCCAGTGGGGTTGATATTTACAGAAAACGATCGTTCTACAAAGAAAATAGGAAACGTGCTACCTTTTACCGACTGAAAATATACATGCAAAGGAAGCAAACTATGTGGACTAAATACAGTATCTATAGGACTACAGTATATATCTATCTAACGATTGTGGTGTATGTATTCAGATGAAATTATTTCATGAGATGATGTTATTCTGAGTGTATCCACACAAGGCAAGCTGAAAAGTTGACTTGACAGCGGTGGAAATCGAACCCTCGACCTTTGGCTTGCTATGGTCACAATGCTCTATCCACTGAGCAACGAGGTTCGATTACATGATATAATTGTGGTGTATATATATACACACCATCGGTATGGTCTGCCCAGTATTGAATGCGATCCTCTAGATGTGTATTTTATTTATTTATTTATTTAAATCAATTTATTGGACCGTGTCGAAGCGGTAAGAGTGCGAACGGGACTCAAAGTCCCATGGGAGGCACTCCCCCGTTACAAACTGTAAACATTTCTTAAAATATTTACATTAATAATAATTAGTATAATTACATAGGTGATTATTGAAAATTCTCCACGCTGATTGGTTGCCGTTGAGGTGATTATTACGCGATAATCACCTAAGCGATTTTCAAAATGGCGGCCGAAGCCTTAGTTTGTCAATTAAATGACGAAGAAATGTGTATTTTTTTATTTTTTTCCATATAATCACCTATGAAATTATACTAAAACAATTATTCACTTCAGGCTCGGTGATTATCGTGAATAAAAACCTCGACTTCGTCTCGGTTTTTATTCACCGATAATCACCTCGCCTTCGGCGAATAATTGTTAACTGTGAAAAAACATATGCCAATTGCTTGAGCACCAACTAATTATGAGAAAACTACTCTCAATTATTTATTTATTACATTATATTATTACAACACACAGCCCTAGGGAAATAGATTGATAACTGAATCTGCAAACAAGTTCAATAAATACTCACCTTTGTTCATAAGAAGCAAGACTTTAGGACAGACCAACCAGGAGGCAGAACTAACCAAAGTTATTCGCAAGTTAAGACTTATCCTCACATCATTGTCTAATAAATAATATGTCTGATTGAACATTATGTAAATTATTATAGTGCGTCACTTTTTGTCAAATCGGATATTGTTAGCTTACGGCCCAAATCACAGAATAAAGACATACAGAAGGTCGACTCAGTCAAAAAAGTGTAACCGCTGCCACGCCATGATTTGTCATCAAAATGCTGACGCCATGGTCCTAGCCAGTGCGGATATGAGAGGCATTCACCCCCTGATAATATTCAAAATGACGGACGTCCAGAGGGGGAATGCCTCTCATAAGCGCACTGGCTAGGAGCCTAGGACCATGGTGTCAGTATTTTGATGACGAATTACGGTCAAGCAAAATCATAGGGAAAACCAAGAAGTTGGGCTTCTGTATAGTCTCTATTCTGTGCCCAAATCAAAGGATGCATGATATGGGTAAACTAGGAAGCACTGTCACAGGGAGCCCATCCCGGGTCTTATTGAAGTTATGTATTAGAATTACGTATGAAATATATAGCTCAGTGTTGAAGCCTGCGATTTGCGGGCTGTGTGCGGGCTAACGCGTGCGTTGAATACACAATAAAGAAAATAGTATTCAACGCGAGCGTTACCCGCACACAGCCCGCAAATCGCAGGCTTCAACACTGAGCTATATATTTCATACGTAATTCTAATACATAACTTCAATAAGACCCGGGATGGGCTCCCTGTGGCAATGTTGCAGAATATGTAAAATTCCAAACGCTTATTCATTCGAAAACAATGTTTGCTTTCCGATAAACTAAATTGTTTTTCAATATTACCATGCCACATATTTAACCAGGGTTATGATACAATCAGTTCTGATGCATTGCACTAAATTCATTGGTGAAGGTAGCACCTACAGTATGCTCTCATTTCTAATTAGTTGCTATGGTAACATATTAGTTACTGGGGAAACAGCAACTATAGGTTTCGGATCAAAATTTCTATAATTTCCGTCTTTAGCCATAAAATGAATTACGTCATTTTAAAGATTACGACATTTTTATCAAAATTATTTTATGGTCCTGTAAGTCTTTTATGAAGTCTTCGTAAGTGCGTAAAGTGTACATCAACATGTTCGTCTAGTCTTCGTAAGTGCGTAAAGTGTACATCAATATGTTCGTCTCATCACGTTCACTCTTTTTCAGAAGGCCTTTTTCTGGAAATTAGCTGCTTCGAAACGTGGAAGTTCGTTGTCATTTTTCTGGTAGTTGTATCATACACACAAGTTCGCATATTTTGAGGGAAATTTTTAGTGTTATGAAACGTGTGTTACGGGTTCTCTATAATTTATCCTATGTTCGCAAGGAATAGGGGGATGGCAATGAACAAAATTGAAAAAGGAACTATTGGTAGCGTTCCAGTTATATTCAGTTCATTGGTGTAAGATGTCAAAATATACGGTTATTCTGCAATTTAGTCTATTTAAAAAGGCAAATTCTAATAACGCCAGCAACTTAAGACTTGTTCCTTTCATAAAATTTGTGTACTACCACTTACCGACATGATCCATATATTTTGGTTCGATTGAAATAATTTTGTTACTTGCTTTCAATGTTTCATGGTATTCACGTAAATGAATACCGCGAGTACCATTGCCACAGTTCACCTACACAGAACAAGATGTAAAATACATAAACACAATAAATACCATATAGGGTCTAATGGCCCCCTTTGTTTTGTGCGTCCAATTGCCCCTGACGATCCCATAATGCATTGCATTTGCACATAACGCAATGTGTTATGGGATCGCCATTCGCCAGGGGACAATTAGCCGCGTAAAACAAAGGAGGGTCTGTGAACCGGCGAACTCATCCAATGTATTAGGCCTGCGTAGTTGGTGGTTCAAGGGTTGGAGTTGATGCGCGGGCAGAAACCCAACTCCTTACAATTGTCAATTGTAGTCGTATTAACGATGGAACTTGGAACTACCTGAAAATGACGACCGTTCTTCCGGAGTTTAGATAGCCCACAGGACGAAAGGATTTCGCTCGAAATGTCAAAGTATTCTTAATCTTTTTCAGGTAGTCCAAATACCAACCACATGCTGGTTTTCATCACCAGAGGATAATTTGCATTTTATAATTTGCAATATTACATTGCATCTTAAAACTTACAGCTTAAACGAGAGGTTTAATCCAAAAGCTTTAACTGTGGTATGTAGGTTTAATGTTTGGCTACTGGAGAGGAGACGTAATAGAATGGTATACCTTGTATCGAAGTTCTCTGTCTGGAACATCATTATTAAGATTTGCCAAGTCAAACGTTTTGTCCACCTGCATCATTGGGTAAGAAATAAAACTCTATAAAATCTTTGAGATACTGTCTCCAAACCAACAATGAAATACAATAAACATATGATCTTTATTCAATAGTTCAAGGATAATTCCCATAAATGACGTCACTCATGACATGCTTGAGAACAAGACATTCTGACATTCTTCACCACTTTTTCCAACATAGCAATTTTCGAAAAATAAAGTACCAAATATTTTACACAAGAACATGATGGTATATATGGACATGGTAATGATCCCCCTGGAAATGTACATGCACCCTTCGCCAGTTTCCAGCGCCGTTGGGAAAAAGTCAGCATTGATGATACAGTTATCGCAGGATGCCAGGATACACTGTACTGTAGGTAATCGTAAAAACCACGATATTCATTTAGTAGCGAGCATGCAATCACATCTATGCTCATGTTACTGTAATTCCAGTGCAGAATAAATTGATTATAAAATCATTACTGAGTACTACCAAGCACCCATAGAAAAGCTACCTGTGAAAGATTTTGCCTTAATAAATATAACGTATACTATAGCATTAACTTATACTATAGCAATCAATAAAATATATTTGACAAGCAATTCTTACTTGAACTAAACCATGACCAATCGTGAAGCGATCGATTCCTAAATTAAAGTTGATTATAAGTTGACATTGAGTATCGCAGTTTAAATAACTAAAACGTTTATTACATATTCCTGAATTTTGCTTGAAATTATTTCACCAGGTTAAATGATTTAAGCAAAGGAAAAGGTCATGACGCTACTTACCATTAACTAAAGATCCCGCATTTTCTAAACACCTTCTTATGCTAGAGGATGGCACATTAAATCAATTAGTAATGCACATATTTGTAATTTTACTGAACTAGAGCAGATGAGTGCATGCATTGCATATTTATTAATGCTTATGTTTATAATTACCTGTGTGGCGAGTACTTTACACCCTTTTCTTTTAATCCAGAAAGCAACAATGCTGCAAACACAGAAAGAACAACATTGGAACACCAACCACGGTAATTCTTCAGGGGTAATGTTAGTGAAAAACCTTCTGTGTTCTTGTGCATTCCGGTTTCTTCCGCAAAATTAAATTTCCATCAATCCAAATTCGTATAAGTAAATCCAAACGTTTCCATGAACGGGGTTAGTAGGTTAGCCTTATGCCTGCAGGTTTTATTTTTCGGAGGTAGCCAATCTTCGAATGCTATTCAGGCGCAACCATGGGGGTCTGGGGCCCATCAAACCGGCCAAATAGTCTTGTCTTGTTTATGAAAGTTCGCTGGAGTATTTAAGTCTTCACAATTGAAATGTATTTTGGGAGGGGGTTAAACAGTGGCGGACACTTTATGAAAAATTGGGGGTGAAATGGGATGCTAGCCTTAGGCGCCGGGGTTACGCAGCTACACGAGTACACGTCACGTGATATTTTGTTTGCTACTTTGTAAAATTAAAAAACAATATCCTTAAACGCGGATAGTCTGACAGGGTGCGATAATTCAATATTTTTAGCCGTACCTGACTGGTACTCCGACAATTTTTTCCGCGTACCTGGTCTGGTACAAACTTAAGAGTCAAGACGTACCTAAGACTACTTCCGAGTCATGCATTTTTATACCTACGTATAGTTTACTGGTCCAAAAGCAAAAAGTGTATGGGCAATTTTGTACAAACGAATCTTTAATTATGATACAGCATAATATAACAGTTTTCAAAGCGTCGACGTTGTGACCCGAATGCCATCGCTCATTTACAGTGGATTTACCGAGGGTGCTAACAGTCTGACCTCAGCTACATACAGTGTAGTTTTCCTCATTGGGCCTTAAAAAAGCTGTGGTTTCGATTTCATATCGCGAAAAAATTAGGGTACGTAGGTCGGAAATAAAAATTTTTTGAATGTTGTTTTCAAGGTTTTGGCGGTTTTTTGCTGGGCGATTTTCAGTAGAGTCCCGACATCAATATTAACTAAAGATGCATAGTTCCTACGGACGAATTTAAGCAATTTGGTTCAATAATTATTGTGACAACATACGCCATTTTGGCACGCTGTACGAGCAGCCCGCAACCACCCAGAGAAAATAGTGTCGCACGGTCAGTCGTGTTGAAAAAAATAATGGGGTGAGCAGAAAAAAATAGGGTCGGTCGGGAAACCGGAACCACAGGTATTTTATTTTTGGGCCTTGGTATAGCATTGACAATTAAGCCCAGGTCACACCACACAACGATAATGATACGATAACTTGTAAACACGCGATGATTGGTAAACACTACAACGAAAACGATAAAATTATCGGCGTTTGACAATAACGATTTTAAAATCGCTCACCCGAGCGATTTTTTTTCAGTTGGATGATGACGATAAATTTTTTGATTAAGCGCAAAGATAACTTTTTGGCTTTTTTCATCCCAAAATATGTCGGATGCGTAGAATTTACATGTACAGCTAAAGTTCTTCACGGTTTTGAATACTTTGGCAGGTTTGCTAGTTATTGCTAGAAGGAAAATGTAAGTACGCGAATAGCAAATTTCCGCGTACCTACGTGGTACTTGCCTAAAAACAAAAGAAGTACCAGACCATAAATTTGGCGTACCTCCGGTACGTTGGTACGCGAATTATCGCACCCTGGGATAGATGTCGATCTATAGGATGGATCTCTTCATCAAATTATGAAGAAAACAAAAAAAGAGCCAAAAATGTTGTTTTACGTTTGGCAAAATTCCCTCAGATTTCTGTAATTTCTCAGACTTCCATTAAAATACTTTCACTCTGAAAGTTGACGTTGAGTTATAGTAACTCCCGACTACGTTACTAGTTCCATATCATTTTTGGAGATGCTAGCAAGTAACTCCAGTACATTTTGAAGCGTACATTTTGAATTTGACAATGGAGATATCAAACATCTACCACAGCACAGTATATCTTATATATAACTTCTAGTATATACTCTACTGTTGCCAGTGTCCTGAGACACGACATAATATGCTTTACATAAATACAAAACAACAGTCACTCTGAAAACGGTAAACATTTTGATGTTCATTAAAGTTTTTATTCTACGTTTCGACTAGATTTTAGACTCACCAATTGCTCCACAGGCATTAGGAGATGCCATGGATGTGCCATTCATAAGTTGGGATCCACTCAGTGTCCAGTTAGGTACAGATGCAATTGCTCCTCCTGGGGCACTTATACTAACTCCAAGTGAGCCATCAGTCCTGTACAATACAATATTAATAATAATTTATGTACGGAAAATAACCAAGAAATGACACATAGGATGATAACATTATTTGTAGTATATTTAAGGTATTACTAATTTTCTTCTGAATTAGATAAAACTGATGTAATATTAGAGATTCTGATATCGAAGGAAGCCTTATGTATAATTAACCAGCAGTGTAATTCACGAACAAGATTGTTTTGCGCTAAAATTAAAATACTTACGCAGGTCCTCTGGACGACCAAGTGTACTGCATTCCTGGCATTCTTTCCAACAATGAATATTCTGTTTCCATCATGTCTGGTGAAACATACGCACCAACACCTACAGAATGATGAATGATTATTATTTCACAAGAAAAGAACAATAAAACCCACAGGTATAGGCGTACGAAGCTTTAACTGATCTAAAAAGGTACAGTAGACTGGATAGCACAACCCATTATTCATAGGTGCATCTCCCAAATGAATCCGCCATTTCTAAGGGGCCAAATGTACGAAACCAAATTCATCTCAGTAAATTTCTATCATAACACGATAGAAAGGTTATCGGCTGGTCCCTTAGCAATGGCTGATTTCCGGCGTCATTCCAACACAATAGATAGTCAGTCCAGTTATATCTTGAGTTCATACCTATTACTGACGAAGCCACACCACCCGGAGCACCAACTGTGGATAATGCAGGACCATTGTTGCCAGCACTGGATACAAATATTATCCCATGTTTATCCACAATCTCATTCATACGGTTTATCACACAACTACAAAACAGAGTAACACATGACATTCAATGGGTTAAGAAACACACGACAAAAATAAGTTTATTTTTAAATTCCTACACGAATTTCTAAAGAGAACTACTTTGACATTTCGAGCGAAGTCCTTTCGTCCTGAGGGCTGTCGCTACTAAACTACGAACGAACGGTCTTCAGTTCCATCGTTAATAGACAGGTTCAGATTTGACTTCCACGTACCACTACCGCTACCTTAAATGTGTTACGCATGCGCAGTAACTGCAAGAGCGTGAGGAAATCGTCGCATGTTTTTGTTTTGGGACCGTAACAAAGCGATTTATGGTCGTCGGGAGAAGTCTAATCTAACAGGTCTAAACAGTCCGTCGCGACCGCTACCAATGGAGCCGTCAAAGGTAGCGGTAGTGGTAGTGGAAGTCAAATCTGAACCTGTCTAATACGACTACATGCTCCTACATTACTTCTAAAAGGCGATAACAATAATATTTGAAGGAAGAGCTTACCCAGAATTTGTCCAATGTGCTGCTTCTCCATAACTCATGTTTATCAAATCACAGTTATTTTTGACAGCTTCAATTAACTATATAAAAATTACAATAATAATATAAACGAGTTATAAATGTCACCAACAAAGTACATACTCTTGTATTACTGTGAATTTGTGTGACTTCATTGAAAATACTAAAATACGTTTCGAACGAAGACTCTTCGTCAGGAGGTTCGGTTAAGACAGTTGCAACAATTGGCACATATTTCACACAGTATTAGAGATGATTCTAGGTTGCAATGAACCTATATATATATATATATATATATAGTTTACTTACCCCTCGTATCATGGAAGATGCAGTTTCCATTGATCCCAGCCTAGTATCTCCAATTTTTATTGATAAAATCTAAAAAAGTAAACATGGTATTTGACTTGACAATACATCGTCGTAAATGGCTCACTTACTGTATCTAAATCAGGAATTCAACAGGGTCAATATTTCGTGCCTTTGCAAAGAAATTTTCATCAACAACAGTGCAACAGTTAGCAGCGCACAGTAGGTTATAGACCTCCTGTATTAAACTACATTGAGGTTCATACCTGGGCTCCAGGTGCAATTCCATTGCATTCTGGTTTATCTGGGAAGTAACCGGCTGCAATACATGCCACGTGTGTGCCATGAGAACCTGGAGAAAAATAGAAATATACTTGATTTGAAATACTTTTGGCACATATAGGTGAATTCTACACATGTGTAGGCTCAACTGATAGTGGGCTGTGTATATTTTTTGTTGGTACACCCCTCCACCACCAAAGTGAATGTCACCATACATCATGTATGGTATAATTACACAATGTAAATTGTACATGAGGTAAATCATGAAACCGCATACACAATGAAATCATGAAAAGGAAAAATGCAATTGACCAATCAGATACAATTTTGTCGAAAGCTGTACAGTGACCTGATGTGGCCGAAACCATCTCTTACTGCATATTTAATTGAAAAAATAATGACTAATATTTACAAAATTCCACAGGTCCTGGAGAAATTGTATGTGACCTTCCCATGCATGATGCAGCAGGGCTTGTGGAGGAGGCAGTTAGTACGTTTTATTGTTAGCAAACAGACAGAAATACCTGAGTCAGTAACAATACTAAGGACGTTTCCATCTTCATAAACATTGACTGAATAGTTCATCATATCTAAAAAGACAAATTATATATTCTGTCTAGTCTACAGTTCTTACAGTACACACTATAAATATTGTGTACGTTTAATAAGATATATATGGCGCGTTCGGTTCAGGATAGCAAAGTACGGTTAGTACTCCACTTCAATCATACATTCGTGATTTAAAAAACATGCAGTCACAATAGACCTTGTGCTTGGCTTGTGCTTAATAAAACAATTTTTGTATATTTTAATTTGCATATTTCTGTTTTTCAGACAGAGATTAACCAAACTTAGTGCAACTCCTATCGGGCGTATTAGCAACTTCAGCCACACAGTATCGCTCTTACCTTTTGTACCAAATGTGTCAAACTCTCCTGACTCTCGGAAGGTTTTAAGTAGCTTACAATTTGCTAAATCTCCTGTTTCTGATGTGTCAACACATACTCTGAAATATCGTAAAAGGCGAAAAGTTGGAAAAAACAGTAATAGGCCGTTCCAGGAAAGATCCACACTATCCCATAGAGGAAATTTTTGCCGCCCTGATGAGGAGGGGAGAAATGTACTTCGGATAATAGTATACAGGGGGTGGATATTAAAAGGTGCCCCTCCCCCTTAAAATAGCATATCCTGCATGTTCTTTGTCACCATAAGTAAAAATTGTGATTTCAAGTCAAGGATTAGAAAAATTGATACGTTTAGAGGAGTTTTTACTCAAAATTTAAGATGGCTGACTTGAATCAGAAACGTGCCAAAATTATCGAATTCTTGCGCTACAATTGTTCTGATATTCCTTTCTTAGTCACAAAAGTGCAATAACTAATGTAATTATTTCATGTTTGCAGTCGTATCGTCAGGGTACTGAATATAGAATTATTTTTTATAATAAACGAAGGTGTGCTCCCCAAGCCACTATTACTAAGTTATGATATACTGGTAAAGCTATATTCCAATATCCTCCGTGGAGGAAGTCTGGATGTTTTAATTCTGAAATGGCCAATCAACTTTAATATAAATTGGAAATATTAGGATTTAATTACCGCCAAGTTGTGCCGTCATCAAACACAATACAATCAAACACTGGTCCAACATTTTCATATTTCTTTTCTAACATTCCAAGAACTTCAACTTGAGCCTCCAATTCTTCTTTTTGTTCCTGGAATACGTCAATAGTACAATACGTCAACATGTTTGAAACGACTATGTATATATACTGGATTTATCTGCAACTGTTCTGATGGTAGTTTTAGGTAATTCATTAATTTGTCTTCCGCTCTATTATACTCTTTATTGTTGTTATGAAAGGAAACCTTCAGACGTTTTCCCGTGAAAAGGACCTCTTCTGAAGTTTTGCACAGTTGTAAAAAGGTATAGTATGCGTTATACAACCGCATATTTGCTTTTAAATTGGCGAATATATTTATAAAATTTTAATAGCAGGCAGACATGTGCTAGATAGTAGCTTTCAAAAAAGTGTGCAACTAAATAATTTGCACTGCTTTTTGTGGAAATTGTGCACAATTAAATCTATATATTTTTAATAAGCTGGATGACAACCTTGTACCCAGGCTATTTTTCTCTCATATTCGGTGACACGGCCAAAGACCCTGGGTACGAGGATGGCTGCATGACTGATTATACAATTATAAATTATTCATGCACTACGAAAATTGTACAAAAAAATTAGACTTTTTGCAAAATGAAAGCAGCACCTTCTCTTCATGAGTTTGTGGAACGTCAGTAGGAACTTTCTTCACAACTTTGGCAGTTAGCTTGCGATGATCTGGATCCCATTGCTCTTCTTTCTCTTGTTTCTACACATCAACGAAATATTGACGATGTAATAATGTTTCTACACATCAACGAAATATCGACGATGTAATAATGTTTCTACACATCAACGAAATATTGACGATGTAATAATGTTTCTACACATCAACGAAATATTAACGATGTAATAATGTTTCTACACATCAACGAAATATTGACGATGTAATAATGTTTCTACACATCAACGAAATATTGACGATGTAATAATGTTTCTAAACATCAACGAAATATTGACGATGTAATAATGTTTCTACACATTAACGAAATATTGACGATGTAATGTTTCTACACATTAACGAAATATTGACGATGTAATAATGTTTCTAAACATCAACGAAATATTGACGATGTAATAATGGTTTTACACATCAATGAAATATCGACGATGTAATAATGGTTTTACATGCACATCAACGAAATATTGACGATGTAATGTTTCTACACATCAATGAAATATTGACGATGTAATAATGCTTTTACACATCAATGAAATATTGACGATGTAAACTAATAATGCTTTTACAGTGAAGATGTTGCCGACTATAGCCTATACGTTAAAGAGTGGAATGGAAACAAATCAAACCTTTATTCTTTCTTTTAGCAATTTTGGAAAAAGACTAAAAGCACTTTTTATTCCAATGTGATAATCATTTGATGAATTTGTCCAGTCTGCAGGAACCTAAAAAAGTGTATATATAATGCTCAAACTTGGAATATGGAATATATATTTTTGGGACATGCCATGTGGCGAAAATCATTTCATGGACTGCA